AATGGTTTTGCGAAGAAATTTGAGGTTGGACTCCAAAATCAAAACTTTTGCAAGATTTCATAACTTTTGGAAATGGGATTATGCTTCACATCCTCACACACTTTTTTATGTGTGATAATATTTTAAGCATGACATATGAGTCAACATATTCTGATGTTGAGAAAAAATTGAAGTTCGACCCAAAAATTAATCAGTAATAGAAACGTGGCTCAACTCTTTATAAGAGCTTGCAAAGTTTTCGAACTTTCCGATGTGGATAATTCTTCGCATCCTCACACTGAAAAGGGGCACTCGATGTTAACAAAGGGGTAGTAAACTGTGGTTAATATACGAAGTATAACTTGTGGTTCCCTCAAATTATATTGTTAGTGATAATAACACAATCATAAATGATAAAATGAAGTTTGTGTATTTAAATCTTGAATTAACAAACCTATGTGATAAGAAACAAAAATAGAAAGACTAAAACATCCCTAGGAACAAAATATAATCTTGAATGAACAAACCTATGTGATAACAAATAAAATGGCTCCGCAGACTCTCCAGAAGTCGTTGTCATTTTTTGCTCCATTGCATTGTCATTTTTTGCTCCATTGCAGACGATTCTGAAGACACAGAGCAGGTCCAAATTGTCGAATGCGGTGCAGCCAAAAATTATAGCATCAACTGCGGTTGCTTTGTCACTGGCGGTGATACACGATGGCGTCGATAGAGAGAGACTTACTGAAAGATTTAGTTGCAAAGCATCATCAACCCGCGAAGAAGAACAGGGCCCGTTTATTTTCATTTTAATATTTCCAAGATGGGGTGGGCTATGCCCTTTCTTTTCATTTCGATATATGGAGAGGGATATTGCCATTCATTTTGATATTTCCAAGATGGATATTAAAACTTGGAATCAATAATATTAATTTGCATACCTTTAATAAGAAAGAAATTAAAATAAATAATAATATAGTACTGAAAACATTATTATTATTTTCATTATCCCGCTTCTTAATTTTACTAAATTAGTCCAGTTTAGTTTAGTTTAAGTCAATCCAACTTAATCACTGAAGTTAGTCTAATCTGAAATAATCTCGTGCAACAAACGTACCATTAGGATTTATTTTCCTATTTTGGAATTGATTTAATTTTTTTTTATGGAGCTCTCAAATATTGACACATGCCATTTTTTATAGCCCTTTTTATTTGATGCGTCATGTGCCCCATATGTTGGGTGGGACTAATGAATTAGACTAGCGAGCTTTCACTGTTCAAATGATCAAATTTTAATTAGTGGATACAGATACATATGATAGTTGTTATCTGATCAAAAGTGGGCCAAAATTTTTCTGCTTTCTGCATAGCTTTCACATCCCTTTTGCCTCTGTGTTTTATTTTTGTAGTCATAATCCTAGACTTGTTTTCCAGTTTTGAAACTGTTGTGTTGGTATATGATTATTTATGTTAGTGACATTACGACTAGTATGCATGTTGTGCATTTTAAATAATCATGATAGCCATGATTTTTTATTTTTAACAAAAGTGCGATATTTATTGATATATAAAAATAAAATAAAAAAGAGTATATATATAGGAGGATAAAGTGCATTTATAAACTTTATTTGAAATTTCAACTTAGTGGAAAGAGAATGAGCATCCCCCAACAAAAAATTACAAGATGCATCTCAAAAATAAGATCAGTGATTAATCCGGGATTCTCGAACCAAGTTAGCTATTGAACTAACGATAGCCATGATTTTAAAATTATTTTAATGGGATTAATAGATTAGAACAAGCAAGTGCAGAAATAAAAGCAAGAAGAATATTGGCTTCGTTCAATTTAATTGTGTTGGTTGATATTGATAATGACTAGGGCGTCGATGATATCACATTCCTCAATCATATTAGGGGTAACCATGTACTTATCATATTCCCCTTGATAAGTTAACATTACTAATCTGTGTTATTGATAAGTCCAATATGCAGGCTATAAGCTTCACCAAAATATATACTAAGTGAAGAGGTTTTCTATGTGTATATTTGAAATTCTCAAAACTTAAAGATTGGTGTAAAAACGTATCATCAACTTCATGGCATAAAGAAATGTTACGATCAACCACTCACTTGTATGAGTTATTTTCTAACTATTAACATCAACATGCGTTGGTATGCGACTGACCTCAACACTACTGTAGTAATATAATTTTACCATATTATAAATAATATATATATATATATAATAACTCTAAAAATTTCACAGAGCATCTACCAGTAACGAAGTTAGAAATTGTGCCGTGGGGGGAGGGGGAGGTGGGGAAATTTAAAAGGGTAAAAAGTCCCACAAAATGTAGACAACCAAATCCTAAACATCAAGCTAATCATTTTAATGAGAAAGGAATTAGAAGGACATATTCTTGCTTTTAGGATCAAGTTTCCAACGATCGGAGTCACGGCGCACCTCCTTGCTTGCTCCTATGTGGCTTTGCCACTGGCATCTACGATGAAAATCACCTCGTGCACACTTGTTTATTGTGCTTAACACTTGCCCTTCGTAGTCACGACATCATACTTGGAATGCACTACAACATATATAAATAGTGCTCTTGTTCAATAATTGTAATTAGTATTTTGAAATAAAAGAACGATAATTGTAATTACTAAAAACTTATTAGGCTACCTAATTAACAGAAAGTTCCAATTCCAACGGAGAAAAGTAACCTTCCAAGAATTTCTCTAATTGTGAATCTAGATTAGATTCATAGTATCATATTTTGTTTTATTTTTCATGCTAACAATATTTTGTGTATCCTCCCTTTGAATAGGTCACATCGTAAGAACAATAATTGAAATTACTTTCTGTCACAAAACCCTTTTCTTATATCATTTTAATTCAAATTGGAAGTCGTTTTTTAGTATTATACTTAACCCCAAGAAAATCGTTTTTTAGACTTAATAGCCACGAGTTGGTGGCCCAGTGGTAAATGACGGATTGCAAGGCTTCCTTCAAACTAAAAAACTGGAGGTCTCAAGTTCGAAACCCGCTGCTGGTGTGGAAGCCAGACTTGTGGCTAGGAGGAGGTTGAGAAATACGTCTGTGAGTCTTCCCGGCCCTCGGAAGAGGTGGATAATGGTGGCTTGCCACCAGTTGTCCTCCTTTTAAAAAAGGAAAAAAAATGGACTTAACGTCTTGTGAATAATTTTTCTTCACTTAACATTGTATCATTAACACAAACTCTATTATAATTGGATAGTGGTATTATGTTGGTTGCTCTCTGTCGCTCATATATTCTTCTTCGTTACATATTAGGCTATTAAAATTTTATTATTGAAATCAAAACATCATAAATTGGGTTAAGAACAATACTTGGCTACTCAAAGGATGACTCAAAATTGTTCATTGCAATTTATAGAACTTCATGTTTATAATCAAAACAGTTCATATTATAAATCACCTTATAAATATCGTATCTGCAAAAAATCAATTAAAACTAAGATTATTTAGTCATCGAACTGTATAAAAACAAGTGAACGAAATTAGTAAAAACATTACGAACTGTCTATATATTTGCTAGAATGGATTAACTAAATGACCTTAGTTTTAATTCATTTTTTTTGTAAAGATGAACTTTACAGTGTGATTCATAGTATGAACGATTTTGTTCATAATCACAAAGCTTTGTGATTCAAGCAATAAGAATTCTGAGTAGGAGTTCATACTCATCTTTGAAAGTAACCAAGTATTGTTCTTTTTTTTTTTTTTTTGAACAAACGATATTATTTATATTAAGGGGAGGGGGTTGGTTTAGCCTCACAATGGACTAGCAATACTGTAGTTCAAATTCGCATTTGACGAAAAATTGAACATAATAAAACCGTTCACTTACAAGTGAAGAGAATACCACTAGACTGTAGTACTAAGTGGCAATGATTAATAGAAATTGAGTTTTGTGCTCAATAAATGCCACTGGCCCTAGCCTTTGGCTTGGGTGCCGTGGGCTACCTTGTCCAATCTCCTTCCTTTTTCCCTCCTTCTCTTGTTTCCTTTTTCTCTTTTTCGATTTTCCCTGAGATTTTTCTCAGCTTCCGTGAGCTTTGTCTCCAATTTTCCTGTGAGTTTGTCTCACCTTTGGGCATCATGTCCCTCTTCTCCTCCCCTCCATTTTCTCTGGTTGTTACTTTCCAAACCCAAAACTCTACCTCCCCTCACCTTTTCCCCCTGCCTCATTTCCTCATAATCCATCCCCAACCCGTCCTTTGCTTTGATTTTCGTCTTTGCTTATTTAATTGGGTTGGGCTTTTATGATTTTGGTTTTCCCAATGTAGTTGGATTATTTTGCCTTCCTTTGTGTTGGCCTGTAACCTTCTTTGGATTTAATGAAATTTCTATTCAGATAAAAAAAAAAAATACAAAGTACATTACAAATTCATTACTTTTAAAAAAAATTCTTAAAAAAAAGAGCAAAAACTCAACCACCAATCACGGAGAAGTGAACTGGATCTTCAAAGCGGGACCCACGTTTCGCCACATACGATTTGTGCACCCATGATGCGTAGGTCCCACGGAAAATTAATTATCTAAAGAGCACTGCACTCGGTACTGTCCTGCGGTTACGATTTCACACAAAAAGACCTGGAAAAAAGCAAACTGTAACTCGCTGCCACCTGCTAATCTGAAGACAGAACAAGAAGACAAAACAGAAACGTAGGGGGTCCTACGTGGGTCTACTGGCACATCCATATTTTCTTAAAAATTTGCTGAGGAAGCAAAATTAAAAAAATTAACTGAATATGTACTCGAGGACAATTTTGGGATTTCAGGTGGATGCTGTTTCGAAAATCCAGGCTCATTTTCCATAAATTTCCGCAAATTTCTGTAACGACAAGTTACACTACACCCTGTAATTTTTTTAAAATTAAATATATAATTTTTTAAAAAATTATTCAGCAGAACAGAGAAGAAGACACCATTGAGAATTTAGGTAAGAGTGAGAAACAGTAAGAGAGAGAGAGTAGAGTGGAGAGGGTGGTGCTTAAATAATTTAAACATTTGAAAATATTATAATTCAACTCGATTGAATTAAACCCAGTTTTTAGTTTTTTTTTTTTTGTAAGGATTTCAAAAAATGAAATTGTAGTTTTTCATGTGTTTTTTTGAAGATTGTTTATTTGTTATGCTGTTTTGTGTATCTATTTACATAGTGTGTTGATTTTGAACTAAAGACAAGGCGCGCTCTCTCTCTCTCTCTCTCTAAAAGCTCTCTCTTCTATCCTTTCTGTCATTTTGCTTTTCTTCAGAATGTGTCCTTTCTGTTTCAGAGAAGAATTGGAATATAATAGCAGAAGAAGAAGATAAAATAGCAAAAAAAAACTCCACCTAGAGAGAGAAAGAGAGGAGAGAGAGGGAGGAGGAGGAGGAGGTGGATTATTGGTGGTGGTTCCTTTGACTTTGGTGGTTTCATCTTCTTCTCTAAAGATTTGGTAGGTTTGTTTGTTTAGATATTTTTTTTTTGCTCATTAATGGCTGCATACTTACCATTTCTTGCTGTTTTTGCTCCATTTTTATGCTTAATCATGGCCAAAGTTTTGGCCTTTTGACTTGGGTTTTTCTGTAACTGCCTATCAAAATAAAAAATGAAAAAAAAAATTGCTACCAACTTAAATCCTGTAATTTTTTTTATTATTTATTTCTGTGTTGCTTCAACTTCTTTTATGGTTTTGATGTTTCTGAAAATTTTGATGCAGGCAAAGGGTGTGGTAAAATATTAGTCTGGGGACATTTCTTTGTTCAGGAAATGATGTGAGTAAATGGTTGTGTTTTTTATTTTATTTTATTTTAAATATGTTGGTTTTTACTTGAGTTTTATAATTTTTGCCTATTTTTTATTATTTATTTTTAGAATAAAATTGAAATGGTTGGGTTCTCTTCTGGCTGGAAAGCATATCTGAACAAAAGTCATGAGCTCTGCAGTTTTGTTCTTCCAAAAGTTAAAACCTTCACTTTCTTCTCCTCCATGTTTTTTAAGAGAAAAAATTGAAGGAAAATACTAGAATTGGTCAGGAAAACAATTTACTGCCTTTTTTTAAATCCAGGCTTCGTGGTTAATAATAATAATATTACGTCTGCTGCTAATTGGAGAAATAAACGTTCCTTTTTGGTACTGATTTTCTTGGGTTCAATTCACCATCCTCATTTTCTGTTGAAATGTATCCTGCAACGTGTCCTCTTTTCAAATTTGAGGTTGATATTTTCGTGTTTTGTTGGTATAAATGGATGGCGGGGGCAATTTTGGTGACTGAATACGGTGACTAACAGATATAGAAGTTGCTTATGGCTGACTTGAACCAGCTAGATTACCTTTTTATTGGTCTCACTTAATAAGAGGTTTCTTACCCGAAATAGCGTTTTGGAATGCTGCTTGGAGATTACATGAATCTACTCCTAGACTCGGTTCTTTGTTTCACTAGATTTGCATCATTTTATGGTGTATGGTGACGAAGAAACCGATATCTTCTTTCATCCATGCATGAATTCTTTTTGGGGCATATTTGGATTAATGACTAATTTTCTATATGCGTTAATCTGAGCTGTTATTCCTATCTGTTTGCGCATTTTCGGCCTTTTTAACAATGTAGTCTTGTATTGTACTTGTCTCGTGCAGTGTTGCAAGCTGAGATGGATTTTTCTGAGTCCACAAAAGTTGTGTACAATAGGATCCAGAAGATAGAGCCTGAAAATGTGTCCAAGATTATCGGTTATCTTCTGTTGCAAGACCATGGCGAGCGTGACATGATCCGACTAGCTTTCAGCCCTGATAATTTGATCCAGTCTCTGATTAACAAAGCGAAAGCTGAGCTCGGGTTATGCAAACTGGCAGTGTCTGCTCCAATCTCACCTCAGATGAACCAAGGTCCTGTTTCCGACCTGCCTTTACAATTCACCCCTTACAGTCCACGACTGGTTTCTTCTCCGGCAACCATTGGGGCAGCAAATCCATATAGGGAACTGTCTGATGACCAGCAATCACTGCAAGCCGTAGAGTTTGCTTCATCAGGGTACTCAGATTCAGTGATTGAAAATTATCGACTCCAAAATCGAATGCAGTTTCTGCCCGAGTTTTCAAGCAATTACTGTTATCATGAACCTGCATTGAGCATGAGAACCACTCGAAGGTCTCCAAGCTTGCCTGAATTTCCTGTTAAGGTTTGCCATTACTTCAATAAGGGGTTCTGTAAGCATGGAAGCAACTGCCGGTACTTCCATGGCCATCCCATGCCAGAAAACTTTTCTCAGTTTTTGAGCCAAAACTCGAATGAGCTTTCAAATGATGATCGCGTTGTCTCCCCTGGCTCCCTTGAAAAGCTAGAGATGGAAATAATTGAGCTTTTGAAATCTAGGAGAGGGTTCCCGATATCAATTGCCTCTTTGCCGATGACGTACCATGAGAAATATGGGACGACTCTTCAAGCCGAGGGATACCTCACAGAGAGCCAGAGACATGGTAAAGCTGGCTACAGCCTGGCAAAGCTTCTTGCTCGATTGAAGAACAGCATTCACCTTATTGACAGGTAACTATTTGTTAATTGCTAAAGTTTTTTTACATCATTTTTTGCTTGCTAGAAGTGCTTGACTCGAGTGGTTCTGCAGGCCTCACGGACAGCACTCAGTTATATTGGCAGAAGATATCCCAAAATACTCAGAGTATACTGGTGAGAAAACTGAACCTGGTGGGAGTATTGCTGGTTCTCGACAGATATATCTTACCTTTCCAGCCGAGAGTAATTTCACGGAGCAAGATGTTTCCAACTACTTCAAGTAAGGCGACCAAAGAAATTCTCCCTTTCACTTTCTTAAGGAACTGTTCATTTGGATTCACTTTTACTTTGAATACTGGTGTACAAACATTTGATTGATTTTTAATTTTATCTGTATTTTGTAGCAAATATGGGCTAGTTCAAGATGTACGCATCCCATGTCAACAAAAGAGGATGTTTGGTTTTGTCACCTTTGTTTATGCAGAGACGGTGAGGCAGATTTTGTCAAAAGGAAATCCTCATTTTGTATGCGGGGCTCGTGTTCTAGTGAAACCTTACAGGGAAAAGCCTAGGCTTGTTGACAGGTAAAACATTTTTATTTGTTCAAATTGTCGTCTGTACTTCCAAAGCAATGAACATCTCTGATCTTTATAACTACTCATAGTTACAGTTATGTAAGTCTTAACGTTGTTGTGGTCTCCATTGAACGTAGCCTCTGATTTTATTCTTTTTTTGCGTTATAGCGTGACTGATGCATCGTATTGTATAAGACCCTTGTTCATATACATTTTTACAGCGGGAGGGTGCTAATTGTAGTTGGTTTCCATTAATGCAGCCTAGCTTCCTGCTCTCAAATATTTTGGAAGTGGTTATGTTAATATCTGAATTATCTGCTTATGTGTTCCATGTCGTCTCCTCTATGGTTTTCTGCTAGTATTTAAACTTTTGATATTTATGTCATCGTGCAGGAAGTTTTCGGATAAGATGCAGCATTCCATGTGCTACAATTCACATTTAATGGATGGAGATGCGGAGCTTCAAGCAAGTAAGCAAATTCTTCAGATAAATACAATAACTATCTATTTTATGAAATAACCCATTAACTAATATAATGTAGTTGGCGTTTACAACAGTGCCCAGAGTTTGTGATAGCGCAAGATTTCTAAGGAAGCAGTTCATAGAGGAAAATGAGCAAGCACTCGAACTTGAGAGAACGCGTCTCTCGGAGATGCATCTAGCAGTTAAGCCGTTGTCCCATAATTTCTATTATGGCTACTCGATAGATGACTTGAAGCATCCAGAAGGTATATCAAATGCAACTTCGCAGAGCTTATTTCTTGTTTCCTTTTGCACGTTTTCGAGCTAATATTTTTTGGGTGGCACTGTAGCCCATGTAGAGCAAGCTGAGTTCCCATCCACCATGGAATTTGATTGTTTTCTGGATGTTTTGAATATTGGTTCCACCAGTGATGACAAAATCAGTCACATTAACACTAATTACAATGATCAAGATAGGTACACACACCATTGCTCGTTCACATTGAACTCATAGTACTTTTACCAATTTCTTTTTCATCTTGATTATTTTCTGAACATTCTCTTTCCCGTTTATACTTGGTTTCATGTACCATGCAGCAGTCAAGGAATTAACCTTCCAGAGAGCCCATTCGCGACTCAAATGGCGAGTGGTATATCAACAGTTACATAGGGGATTCAGACAAACAGTAAATTATGGAGAGGTAGAGGACTGGATTCATACACTAAGTCTAATTGGTTTCGATACAGCAGGAGAGACCTTCATCTTCTTCTATTTTCATTTCATTTTTACCTCAACTTCATTGGTCCATCAGCTAAGTAGAGAGAGAGAGAGAGAGTTCATACCAACTGAAGAAGAAGAGAGAGAGATACAGTAGACAAGTTATGTTCTTCCCCAATGTTACACTGGGCGAAGGAGATCGCAAAGAAGAAAAGACCGAAAAGCTAATTTGTGACAAGTGTTTTAAGCTTTTTCTTTCTTGTTTTAGTATAATCACAGAGGATGCAGCAAGGAAGAGGTGGGTTTTTAGAAGTGACTGAGATATAGTTTGGTTTACTTGAAGAAGAAGAAAGTAGTAGTAAAGACATGCGCGTATGCAGAGTAAAGAAGAAAAGGTGTAGAGATCTCTGCAGCATAAACAAATTCTAATAATTTACACAAAGTTTCTATTTACGTCACTACATATGTTTCAACATTCCATGCACTATATGGATGATGAGATTTATACATATAGAATGTTTTTACAGTGTGGTTTAATCACACATTTTTAAAATACAGATATGTTGTCGATGTTGATATTGTTGATACTTTAACCTTATAGAAAGGTTAACCGCACTGTAGAAGTATGATATATATTAAAAAAATTGTTCATAATTTAATTTTGTTTGGGGTGAAGGGTAGGCCATGTTTATACCCATAATTAGGGGAATCAAAAGGTGGCGTAATTAATTATATATTATGGTATTTTTGAGCTTAACGGTTCTTGCATCATTTTGTTTTTCCTGCAATTAGTATAACCTTTTTCTTCAGATGAAACATCTCTGTCTTGGTGTAGTTGTTGTAAAGCAATGGAGTTTATTGGGAAATTAAGCTTTTGTTAATGATCATTAAGCTTTTTTAATGAGAGATTAGGGTTTTAAAATTGCATGTCCTAAAAGTGAAGGAATGTGGTGCTTGATAAATGCAATTGCACCTTTCTCTTTCTTTCTGGCTTAAAGACAGAAACGGGACCTGGTTTTGATTTGTTTGAGATTTGTAGGACCCTATAGTTATATGACCCTTCATTGTTGAGCTAGGGCACCAAAAGATATTGAGCTGTAAATTTGATATTTTCATGTAATATACAGCTAATATTCATAAATCTCTAAACTCCAAAATTGCTTATAAATCCCATATGAAACAAAATTTCAAGGATGTGAAAAGATGTGTAGTTGCAACTTGCAAGTGATAGCATATCACCTCCTCTTTACAATGAAAATGAGGGGATTTATTATGGTGCTCCAGAGTATGAGATATGTTAGATCTTTTAACCATTAGATATTTGGTCAAAACACAAAAATCAATATCTAACAGTTCAAAACTTGGTGTATTTCATACACTGGAGCACCCTAGAATGGGTAACTTCCAAAATTGGCTTTTCCTTGACATGTTGCCTGTAACTCAAATGGAGTGTTCATCGTTACACTTGATGTTATGTGCTCAAATCTCCCTTCCACGAATATCCAATTCATTAGTCGCAACAAGTAGAAATTTTTGCATGCAACCGAAATATGTCCTCGTTTTCTTATAGTACTTGTCACTTTGTTACGCGATGCCTACTGTAGGGAATTGAGGATATACATCCCGCTACAAGATAGATTTTCACCAAAACAAGGATGTTCGTGACTTGGCACATTAAATTCCGAAGGTGGTCCATAAGGTAAGCCAAGACAAATCAAGTATTTTGGGTGGCACTGATTATTTTGTCACATGATTTATGGGGAAACAATGACATTGAAACTACCAGATTGGGGAAATCAGAGAATTTGTTAGTGAACAAGAAAGCAGTCACGGCACTTCGTCTAACCCTCTACTTTTTGCTCTGCTTCTCATCTTCTACTTTGTTCTTCCAAAGCTTTCTGTAAATTGGGAAAATGGAGCAGAAAATTGTGCACACCACTGGCCCGACGTTACAAAACATAAGGTACTTTATCATTTTTTTTTTCCTCAACAAGCGGGATGATTCAAAAATATTTACGTGTTTGAACATATATATGGATATAAAATTTGTCAATCTACGTGACGAAAGCTAGAAAAATACTGTAGAGTAGAAACCATACAGTAAAATGAAAGAAACTAGCAAGGGGTTTTCTTTTAGGTACTTTCATGCAACAAAGGTGCTATTGTTTGAAAAATTATAATGCATGACAGAGCGTGATTAACCTGAGATGCTGTCACGATACCATTTTGCGTGGATTTTAGGCTTAAAACCTACGAATGATCTAATTTGCATATTAATAAATGGAAAGAATTATACACGTACATGCAAAAGAACATAAAATACCACCGAGTAGCACAATCAGTACATTGATATACATGATGCATCATTGGGCAATTACTTAGTCCTAGCCTTCTAGGGCAACTTTGAAATTCAAGGAAGGTGCATTCGGATCTATGTGCAGGACCATCATAGATTGTGAATCCAACAACACAAGTTGTACAGGGATCCATAGCAGTTGGAGTTCTTAAAATAGCAAGCTGCCCCAAGCAGCGATGAAAGCAAAGCCACCGAAAGGGGCCAACGTAGAGTACTTTCTATCCTCGAGTAATGCCACAGTATAACACCTGCAAAAATCACGTCATTTCAACCAGCATTAACCTCTAAGAATGTGAATACAGTGTAAGAACTTCCATGAATATTGTTTCCTTAGAGAAAACAGCTGGAAAAGGTCCCCCAGAATGATGCATAGACTCCGTACTCAAGGCAATAGCCTCAATGTGCAGTTTGCCAAATGCCAAGCCTTAAGAACCTAGCAAACAAGGATTTGTGGAGTCCAGAAGCGAAATATCGACACCCTACAGATTGTTAGAATTGCAATATGCATGTACCGTAACTGTGCCAATTAACAGTTTAATACATTTATCCGTCTAGAACCCCTGTAACTCATAGGGTATAGGTTATGCCATACCGACAAACTAAAATGATTCGAACTCTTACGTAAATCATACAAAAAGGGCAACTTCATTGGAAGTGATATTAACCATAGGCTAGTTCTGTGATCTCAATTGCATCCTAACAAATAACAATGTAAGTGCTCTTACTAAAAAATTCAGATTCAACTACCTTCATTTTGCAAGGAAACTCAAATCGTTAAGGGATCTTTTAACATGAAAACAAATTAAACCATGTAATTGAACAAAAAAGAAAGTGCAGAAGAATGACACTTACGTCCCGGAGAATGCGAGTATTCCAGTAGTCAAAAGGCCTCCAAACTGCAAAAAGAAGAAGATGAAATTAGCATATGTACTCACATACAAATTTGCAGACGAGTAACTGATTAACAAACATCACATAACACGAAGTTGAGCAAACATCACACATGCCCAAATGTCACGATTCAGACCTTCAGATCACGGTTTGAATTCAACGCAATGTAAGTTGATAAAGATCTAAACATTTTAACTCACAATGGTGGGGTTCTTGGTGATAGGGGCAGCAAGAAGAGCTGCCGTGTGAACCAGATGGTAGAGAGAAGCTGTGTGCCAAACCTACCCATAATTTGCAACGTAATTAAATCCCAGAAAACTTAAAACTTTCAGATAAACCATGAAAAATATGAGATAAAATCAAATGGGCAAAGATTAAAAATTAAAACAGATGATGAACCTCTTTGTAAGTTGGGTTTTTGGGTTTGAAGCCATGGGCGCCATATGTACCCAACCCAAGAGCTGCCATTCCTGTTTTCCAATCAAATTCACGAATTGGGTTTTATCAGATTTGAATAATTTGATAAAAGGAGACTGATCTGATACAAATTTATACATACATATATACATGCAGTTACATACGCGATTTCACAGTGACTGTAATTCCAGAAAAAAATTACAAGGGTAGATACCAGAGAGGGCGGCTACTTTGTGCCACACTTGAGGATCCATTGTTGGGTTTGATTCTTCTTCTGTTGCTGGCTTCTCTTTCAGTGCCTCTCACTCACTTTCAGGCGGTGGTTGTGGAAAGAGGTGGACTTGTTAGTCTAGAGGAGTGGAATAGAATACCGAAGTTCCCAACCCGAACCGAAAATAACCTGAAGCCGAACCGAAAATGTCCCGAACCATTCGATGCCCGATCCCAAAAAGTTCGGTGCAGGATTTGGGATCCCATATCCTTTTGGTTGGTAATTCTGAACCGAACCGATTAATATTTTAATATGATTTTATATATAGCTGAATTAACAATAGTTATTAGATTAGGTTGACATTGAATCTTAACATTCGTAACCACATTAAGCGGCCTAGTAGTAAGGGTGCATATTGCTACTCTCCAATAAATAAATAAATGCGAGAGGTTTTGGGTTCGATGCTCCAAGCTAGTGAGTCTGCTTGACTGTGACTGTGGCCACAGGTAAGGTGAAATTCCCCATAGCATCTTTGTGCCCAGAAAGGATGGATAAGCATGACATGCCATCAGTTATCCTCCTTTTTCAAATAAAAAAAAATCTCACTCACCTCACTTCCTCACAGACCCCTCATACTCGTAGCTCTCTCTCAACCTTCGAAGACAAGGCCAACAACCTCTACTCCCTCCAAAACCCCCAACCCTCCTCATCTCCTTCTAGTGCCTAATCGTCGCCAAGAGATGGTACGTCGTGGCCAAGTTGCTTACTTCTCACCAAATCGTCCCTTAGAGGTTCCTGATTCTAGATTCGGTTCAGACCCTGAACTTCCACAACAAACTCTCAAGGGACAAGGATAGGTTCGGTCTTTGGATTTTGGTTCGGGGTCCTAACCCAAACCAACCCTAGAGTCTATGTCTCAAAACACAGTCGTTTTCAATTCTTTTTTTTCTTTTTTTTGATAGTTGTGAAATTGGGATCAGGATCTTGTCCAAATTCTTTGCATGCAGACTATTCGGATCAAATAATCTCAGTCGGATCAAATAACCCTCCCACACCCTCCCCCATCGACGACGACAATCGTGGCTGTGAAAATGGTGGAGTAGGGTGGACTCTGAGAAAATGGTGGAGATGAAGACGTGAAAATGAGAGATAAGAAGAAGAGTGATATCAGCCGCGTGATTCTATGTGAACGATTGAGATTATTTGATCTCGGGCATCTAACCACTGAATCATCCACCGTTCGGCAGGTGAGGGGGTCTTGCGGCGGAGGAGGTGAATGACTAGGCTGGCCGAAGGGATCCGTGTAGGGATTCTGCGATAGAGCATTGAGTTGCAAGAGCTTGAAGTGGTGGATGATTCAATGGTTATAAATTATTAAGTGGAGGTGAAATAGAGAAAGAAGGTGAGATCTCATCGGGGAGGGTGTGGGAGGGTTACCATTGCTTTATTCACTGTTTGGAGTGAGCAAATGGAAAGCAAACTTACCCAATTGATTACCAAGACCTTAGTGCGTCTCTGCCATGAACTCGATGTGGGTTGTAAGCATTGTAACTCGAGAAGAAGCAGAGCAAACTTGAACTTGGACTCCATAGCTAAAAAGCTGAAAATGGTGGAGATGCAAATATAATGAAGGCGAGAGAAGAGGTGGAGTCATCTCAGTTAGCAAGAATTCAGATTAAAAGTAAAAATTGCCCAATTAAATAACTGTTGATTTCCCAATCTGTCCTGAATAAGGTGTTACAACTCTCCTGGACAAGTCACAAGACAACTATGAGCGTAATCATGTAAAACAAATCAGTCATTAGACTCTGAAACTGTTGTCACAAGTTTTTACTGGGTAAACATAGCACCCCTAAAATCATTTGAGGTTTATGTTGCTCTGGCCACTTGCCAATGGGTGACATATTTGTACAGTTAAAACCTACATTTTGTCTGAAGAATGCTACAACTAACAACTCCCGAGTAACTCCTGCTTCCCTGGTTTTAGCATGTTTTGCTTAAGCTTCGGTTTCCACCGCAGCGTGAAGAAGCTCGTCAGGGGTTGCAGCTGGATCAAGATCCCAGCACTTACCGGGCAGGTTACTCTCTTCTCCCTTGAGTAACCACGATGGCACCTGGTGCGAGAAGCGTAGCATCTCTCTTTTTGGAATCCATTGGATGGCCGCTTTGTCCGTATTGCTTTGGTATACTGTCTTGAATCCAGCCAGTTTCACAAGGGGGGATACACAGACACCAAGATCTTCGGAGTAATCATCAAGAACTTCCACCATTATGTACTGGTGCCTCACTTCAGCTGCAGTTGATCTGTCCCAATTTTTTGACCAGTTTCGATACATAGCCCAAATGTCTCCGCTTCTGGGGTATATCCGAACACAGCCTCCTCTGGCTGCTTTCTCCCGGCTCAAAACATGAGAGAAAATGTTAACATGCTCAATGACATCAAGATTCCGTGCCCTAAAATTTCCACAGGATTTGGTAAACCCACAATCTAGCCAGTTCACGGACCCGAATTCACTATCAGTTTTAGAGCCCAAGTAAGTAATGACTAACTTGAATGGTTTTACCGAAACCACTTCACGAATCAGACAGTACAGGCGAGGCATACCATCTTCTTCATCATACAAAGCCCAAATTTGCTTTGGCTTGAAGATTCCTCTGACCTATCTTTATCAAAATCATGGAAGTCAGGGTCGGGGACAGTTATGCAGAGAGGCTCAGTATTCTTTATCTCTAATTTCTGTGCTTGTGCAACTTCTGGTTGACGCACTTCAGCCTCTCTTTTTGTGTTCTTTACAGCAGCTGCTGCTTCTGATGCCAACTTAAACTCGGCCAATTTCTTCAAAATTTCGGTTCTTGCCTTTTCAAGCAACAACTTCTTCGTATCAAAAGCCGGTGCCATGGAGCAACGTCTAGTTGGAAGTTCCCCTGCACTAAGAATTTTCTGATCACTTCCAATACTCCCATTTCCATTGGCTAGTTTTGCTTCTAAAGCAGATTTTGATACTTTTTCATCGAGCCCATTTCTAAAACTTGCTCCCACAGTAAGTTTCCTTCTCTTATCCCGTCCATTGCTCTTAGATTCAGGTGGCTGATTACAGCTAGCAGGCACGGTCAGATCCACTTTAGCCACAACATTTGTAACAGAACGTTTTCCATTCACTCTTGATTTCACCTTCTCTCTAGCTTTCTTAACATTTCCATTTGACTGATAAACAGCATCAGGGGATATAGCCGATGACCCATGAAGAGCTGCAACACCAGCTGAGGTTCCAGAATACGAGTTCCACTGAAACGACATATTTGAAGTATATTCATACCCATGTCCAGAATGAAAACCTGAGACCCCGTTTCCTGGGAAAAAGGTACCATTGCTTGGAACATATGTAACCCCATCAAATCCATGATTCCCGTACCCATTACTAGGCACATAAGGCCAAGGACAAGGAGTATAAGGAAAAGAACCATTTGCTGGGGCTGCCCCAGATTCCACAGCAATGAAAATTCCTCGGCAGTTTTTACATGAAAGTCTTTTGTTCACATACTTACGGAGATACTCATACTGAACCTTGCAAGAAGTGCAGACGGTCCAGAAAGTGTCAAGTCTACTATGAGATACTGATGAACTGGAACAATTGTTGAAACCTTGAACCCCACCAGCGTGAACTGAAGACAAATTGGGCTGATTACCTGTAGCTGCCAATTGTTTGTTTCTCTGAAGATCGTACAACCTTCTCTTGGCAGTGTCGGACAACACAGTAACTGCTTCAGAAACAAGTTTGAAAGCCCCATCAGCTCCCACGCATTTGTTCTTATCAGGGTGGAGCAACACAGCCATCTTTTTGTACTGCTTCTTGACTGCATCTTTACTTGCAGAAGGCTTCAGTCCAAGAATTTTATAATGATCCATTTCACTATAATATTTTGCCTCAGAAGCAACATAAACTTCAAACGTGGCTAGCATATGAGATATGCCCTCAAGTTCCGGGTACAGTGATTTAGCTTTTACTGCATAAGCGAGAGCACCTGTAAAATCTTTCTCAAAAAATCGCTTCTCAGCAGTCTCCTTCGCTTTAAGAGCCTCCTCTATGTTAACTTCCATGGAGGAATAGAGATCACTTAAAAACCAAAAATCTCGAAACAGAATCTACGACCACCACACTATGCTAAACTGTAGAAATAGCTGAATTCTCATATGTAACCACATTTTCATTCCTGCAAAAGATAAAGTAAGAATCTTTATGAGTATCAAACGTCAATATTTTTTCTATTAGCACTGTGACTGGCTAAGCCATTCAAATTTCTCTAATTAAGACTTATTAATAACCATAAATGCAGAATCATTTAGGAAAAAATTAATGCAGAAATCATTTACCAAACTAAAACAAAATTCAAGTTCAAATCTCAACCAAGATTTGCGTTCGAATTAAGTTTTTTCATCAATAAAGCTACCGTTTTCGTCTCAAATAAAAAATATCAACCAAGAAGCAATGCCAATCAATTCAACACTAACCCAATTACCAAAACGGCTTATAATTGTCAAGATTTGACCTTTTTTCACAAACAAAAAAATTACGATCCATGTAACATAAATGCAATAAAATCAAGATTAAATTTTCCTTCATTTTCCTCAGTTTTTTCTCGGCAGCCAAACACCCTTAAACCAGGTACCAAAACAGAAGAATCTAGCCCTTCAAACCCACTAACAAGCATGCACATCAGCTCAATTTTCCAAATCCAGCCACAAATTCCACTAAATTACACAGCTTTTCAGACATGCACAGCTATCGAAATCCAAAATCCAGTATATTATTAACCCAGATTAAAAATTCAGCACAAAATCAAAGCAAACAGTAAAAACAATTGACTCACTGAAATTTGAGCTGAATGAAGGTGAAGAAAACCCAGATCGCCACGTGTACTTGGAAGCTCAAGCAAAATCAGGAAAGCTCAGCTAATTGCAAATCTCACCGTATCGAAAGCACAAATCACTAGAGAAACTCATTTTTAATAACCCTAAAGTGCAAAGAAAGTTTACCAAACAGTAAAATTTCTATTTTTTAGGGTTTGTGATGCGAAATCGGGTGTTTGGGTAGGCGGATTTGGGGCTGGGATGGCCGAATGCGGCGATTGACGGCGGGGAATTGGCGATTCCGTCGATATAGGTGCCGGAGATTTGGACAGGATTTATTTTTGGTAATAAAATGGTTTGAATTTTTTTTTTAATTTCGAGTGAGAGTAAACAGTGCGTTAATAGTATTTAATGGTGGGGTTGCTATTTTGCGCTGCCGTGCGTTATGGGCGTTACTTTTTTCCGTTGGATTTGAGGAGTGTTTGGTAGTGGGCAGAAGAAGTAGACCTTGGATTAAGCTAATTGTTTAATCAACTTATTTGGCTGAGATTTGGTAATGGCTTCATTTGATTACAATCCCTAATAAATGATTTTGCATGACAAGAATAATTTTTCCACCCAAGCAGTTTTATTTTCCGCAGACCCATCTCAATTTTCGATCATTGAATTATGATTGAAGAAAGTCAACGGTTAAAAATTAATAAGAGTGTGTAAAAAGTAAAATAAATGTGTGAATAACATTATTCCTATGAAAATTGTGTAAAGTTGTTGATATTCGTCATTGTATGTGTAGTACTAAATAACCAAAAAATCTCAAAATTTTGAATTTTAACTACTATGTTAATCAAGTGTTAGAACGTATATACATTTTACCACATTGACAAAAAATAATGATACCTATGTACCTTGGGGCATATTCGACTTCCATCTATTTACCTCCTAACAACTAACAATTTAACCACATTCTCTAATTGATGCTTCAATCCATAGTCGGTGGTGATATAGATCAAATATATTCGGTTGGCGTATGTTGTTTAGCTTCGCCTTGGTGGTTTTTGTCAAAATTACTTTCAACCTCAATCATAGAATACCAAGTATTGTTATGACGCTAACAACATTGTTTACTTACATGGAACGAGATATTTGTATTATTTTGGTTCTTTACTTCCTTGCATTTTAAACAAATGTGTGTTACACAGTAAAATCTGTTATCAAATACTTACAATCAAGAATCGTATCAATTCTTAACCATTCAGTTCTCTCTCTTCCTAATTTATGACTTCTCTAATTCCACAAAAAAAAAAAAATAAAAAGAAGCCATGAATATTTGTTGAGGACCTTTTAATCAAGCAGAACTTGGGCTTTAAGATGCTTAACTCCTCTAGTTCGTTTTCGGCCTCAGGCCCTGAGATACCTTAAAAGAAAAGCGTGTCTTAGGAGATATTCCAGATAATTCAAGAACTCTTATTAACAAGAATTGAATAATTATAACAACAAATTATAATTTACTTGAGTGATGCGTGGCTGTGGGAGTTGAAAGCCCACTAATTGATGTGAGAGAGATATTGTTGATGGTTGCTGGTTTTGAAGTGGCTAATTAGGGTTTCTAATGGAGGGTAATGTAAAGGGTAAGGGAGGCTTATGACAAAGGTCAGAAGAAAGAAATGCTAAATCTCATGATTTAGGGTTTTCCAGCACTTTAAGATTGCTTGCTCTGCTTGGTTCATCCCCCCATTTAAGCGTGCTGAAGGCTTCAATTTATAAACGGGGGAATTCCTCAAAATCCTAATTGGACAATACCTTGGTTTTCTCTGTTCTTCTTGTTTTGTTAAAGTCTTCCCTTTTCTTGCTACTTAGTACTAATGATATGGTGGTATTCCTCTTTCACTTGTGAGTGAGAGGTCTTATGTTCGAATCTTGTAGATAACGAACTCAATACCAAGTTAGGTTGTCTATTGTGTGACTTAGCCGAACTCCCCTCCTCCTAGAAGTAGTCCATGAGTTTGTTCACCATCAATTATTTTGGTTATTTGTGAAAAATTGTGTTAAGTAAGGACTAAAATGGCAAAAATACCCTCAATTTAGTAAATCATTAGCTAAAATGATTTGACAAAAAATTTTGGCATTTTATCCTTCTTTAATTGAGATTTTTCATTGAGACCAAAATGATTAATGGTGAACAAATTCATGGATCATTTCTATCGATTTCAAATCTCAAAAACCAAAAAAGAATTCTGATAATTTCAAAGGACAATTTTGATTGATTTATTTTTTTTTCACTCTACGCATGAATTTAGCTTCGTTTGCTATGAATATATAATGATTGAGCTAATCGGGCTTGTAAGCGAAATTTTTTTGGAACCTAACGACATTTAGTTTATTGTAATTACTTTGGGTGTATTGAAAAGGAGAAATGCCTAACCACATTCCATTGTTGGAGTTTCATTTGTCATCGATAGCATCCACAGCTATCACATATCAGGTTTTTTTTTCTTTTAGACTAGCTAACACATATCATGTTAGTTAGCATATCAAGTAGCTCTTTGTAACGTTGACGTGATAATTCATATATGATTCTTTCTTTACTTGGCTCTTTGGTGAGATCAAAATTTTTGCATCCAAAATTGGTGTGACATATTTATTACACCAGTTGATGTTTGATATGTATTAAATTTATGACAATAAAGTTAAAAAAAAGTTAAGTTTATATATACGCTTTAGATATTAATTTGAACAACATAAAAATCACACTCATCTTGAATGCAGAAAATTTCATCTCCTAATTATATTTGGTCAAGATTGTTTTAAAGAATAGTGTTACTAATTCATATTTGCTGAACCCTTTTGTGGATGTGACATATACTACTTCAACATCCATACCTTTGGGTCAAAATTGGAATTCTACTACAAATAAGAATAATTTTGACTCACTCTCTCTCTCTTGGGTTACCTTAATATGGTAAAAATGTAAAAATTCAATAGTGAATTATTGAAAATGAGTTAATACGCATGAATTGAGTAGAGGTCTTGACTGTAATTCCACAATAGTAGTTACCAATATTCTAGATCAAAATTGCAAATCACTTTTTATCACAGTGGTAGAAATATGTTGAAGTTTTGCATAATAACGTAATTTTGAACACCATCAATTACTAATAATCTAATACCTAATTTAATAAAGTCATTACAAAAAAAATAAAAAATAAATAAAAAAAGATTATCCTAAAGCAAAATTTATTTATACTACGGATGGGACTACACCACACCACAGTTTGTCAGGTGCTTTTTTCTTTTTCCTTTTTTTTTAATTGATATTTATTCTTCTTCTTTTGCCCATAAATTTTGTCTGGTATTAAATTGAAATCTTTTAGGACAGGATACCCAACCTTTCAAAATGATATATTCTATCTTCTACCTACCCACCACCGAAGCGGATCTCTTTCCACCAAGTCAATCAAGATCACAAATTCGGACTTTTGAAATTTGATTCAACGATTACAAACAGAAGTCCACTTTAAAAGTGATAATAACTTTAACTATTGGATCAAATTTTAAAGGTCTGGATTTGTGCCCTTGGTGAACTTGATGGAAGAAATCCATAGAAGATCCCTTTTCCACCACTAGAAAGAGATCCTCTCCAAATCTCTTACTCCAAAGCTCACAGATTAAGTAATTTGGACCCTTGAAATTTGATCCAACGGCTAAAAATTATTATAACTTTTAAAAGTTTTTACTAACTTCTCTATTTTTTGCCGTTTGATCAAATTTCAAGGGCCAGATTACTTGATCTGTGGGCTTTGGCTATTCCGACTATTTAACATCGAGAACTATATCTAATATTGAGAAGCACATCAACAGTTTAATGATGTGCCGTGCCCATAAGAGGTATTCTATGATATATTGATAGTAGATTAATCTCTTTTCTTACGTAGCTCTAGTCGCACATGCAGAGGTAGCATACTTTTGCCATTCAGGTCAAATATATAGTACGCCAAAGCAAAACCAATTTCTCCAGAAAATGCGTTCGTAGAAATTCAAACTCGAGTTGAGAATTCCAAACTACTTTGAGATTATCATGTGATTATATGTTTATTAATTACTAGAAGTTTATTAGGTGTAAATTTATAAATGAACAGGTGTAATGATCTTGATGGTACATGTGTCAAGATCCTATAGCTTGTGCTAGTTAGAAGCTTGCTTAGCTGTTAAGATTACTCAGCTATTATAAATAGCAAGAAGGCCAACAATTGTAACTAATCACTACAGAAATGAAAACCAGCTTTTATACTTTCTCTCTCGAAATTTTGCGCTCTTCAATTCCTTAGTTCCTAACCTTTTGCTGCCTAGTTAATAAAGTTTACACAATAGAAAATCTAATATCATTTTATCGATTAACTTGCTGATCATTCGATTTATAGCTTACGCCTTTCTCTACAAACATGACAGTGTTACGATCACACTACTACCAACCCCACATGACTCGCCCATGACTAGCAGATTTAAATGCATTAAGCCATCTAGGGATTTGGAAATGAGGTAGAGGAGGGCTGGTCGGAAATTGGAGTGAGAAGGGTGTTAAAGTAAAGAAAATGAAACACCATGAGTCAATGATCTCATATTTGTTGGACCACCCAGTAGATTAGGCTTGTTCAGTCTCAATCACCCGTTTTGTGGCCCATATCTCACTTTACAACGGACACGGACTCTAAAACAATTGATCAACAATGCCCAATTGCTAATATGCTATTGGGAGAAGAATTGGTTCTTTGTGGCCTACCATGCTAAACATAACGTCCTCTCACAAGCTTGTCTTTTCAAGTCAAAGGGACTTCAGCACTTTCTAGCACGCCGTTGCACAACTAGGGTTTTTGCGATTGTATTGGACGGTTTCGAACTCTAAATATATATTCTTACTTATCGCTCTACTTACTCTTACTACTGTGCTCACTCCAGTGACTTAATATTTGATAAAGTATCATAAATAAAATAAAATAAAGAACAATCGTTTTCATTTGGAGTGTATTTGTTTGGGAATCTGCTTGCCAATAGAAACAAAAGGAAAAGAGGATCCACTATATTTTGGCACTACCCACTTTTTTTGTCTAGACGTGCTTAGGCTCCCAAAGATTCTGAGTCCCAATTTATTTAAAAATAAATCCGAAGCAAATATAACAATTTGTTATAATAAAATTACAAGAAACTTATTATTAAACATAGGAATTAGGTACTGCCGATGCCAAAAATTAAGAAATTAAAAAATAAAATGAAATAAATAAGTTGGTTCTACCTTCTTACCTTTTTCCCCTCCAAAATAATAAATCGTCACAATTATTTAGTAACCCTAGTAGTAAAAATATAAAAAATCATCATTTTTTTAATAAATAAAATCGATATGTATACTACTGTTACTCTCACCGGGACCCACTATAGTCAAAAGTGCTCTAAAG